CAACACTCATAGACATTTTTGGTGAGTCGACATCTTTGTTTAGCATTCGCTATCAATGTCTAAAAATTGTAAAGCGTGATGCAGACGATTATGGGGCACTAGCAGACATGGTTAACCGTGAATGTGAACGTTTCAAGTTACGCTGTTTGACGGATGACCAGTTTAAGTGTCTAATATTTGTCAGTGCTTTACAGTCTCCACGCGACGCGGAAATCCGCACTCGGCTCCTTGCTAAGTTGGATCAAGACCCAGATTTGACATTGAAGTCTCTTGTAGGCGAATGCAAACGGTTAATTACCTTGAAACACGACACGGCTATGATTGAGCAGAGTCGCCCCACCATTGCCGATACTGTTCATGCTGTGCAAAAAGCAAGAAAGCCTGGCTCGAATAAGTCGTTCAACAGAAAGCCGAACAAGCCACCTACACCTTGTTGGTCATGTGGTGAATGGCATTTCGCACGATACTGTCCATTCAAGCGTCATATTTGTGATAAGTGCCATAAACGCGGCCACAAGGAAGACTTTTGCCATCAGTCCCGGCCAAGAAATGTGAAGCAGTCCTACCGAAGGAAGAATTTCAGAAAACCTGACGCAGAATCACTATCGGTGATTGCTACATTTCACAGCGATTCTAAAACACGCCGCCGATTTATCACTGTGCTTATCAACGGAATCCCAACCCGGCTGCAGTTCGATACGGCATCAGATATAACGATCATTTCCAAGAACACTTGGAAGCACATAAAGAAGCCGAAGATGATTGATTCCAACAAAGTCGCTCGCAATGCATCCGGTGGAGTGCTGAAGTTGGTCGGAGAAATAAATTGCAAAATTTCATTCAACGGAGTGGAAAAGGCCGGAACCTGCTACTTGTCTGATCGACTAAACTTGAACCTCCTTGGACTTGACTGGATGGAAAAATTACAACTGTTTGATGTTCCCATGAGTCAGATTTGCAATAGAGTACAAACCGAACCAGTACATTCATCATTGTCGATAGGAGAAATGACCAGGAAGCTAAAGCAGCAGTTTGTCGCCTTGTTTGAAGATGGTCTCGGCCACTGCACTAACTTCAAAGCAAAGTTGTGTCTTCGTGAAGGAACCAAGCCAGTCTTTAGAGCAAAAAGACCGGTACCTTATGCAGCCATGACAGCAGTTGATCAGGAGCTCGACCGACTAGAACGAGCCGGTGTCATCACCCCAGTGAACTACTCTTCATGGGCTGCGCCGATTGTCGTTGTGAGAAAGCCGAACGGTAAAGTGCGAGTCTGCGCCGATTTTTCGACTGGCCTGAATGCCGCATTGGACGACCATCAATACCCCCTTCCGATACCAGAGGATATCTTTGCCAAGCTGAATGGTGGGAAGTGTTTCGCCAAGCTCGACTTGTCCGATGCCTACCTCCAGGTTGAGGTTGATGAAAGCTCAAGAGAATTGCTGACCATCAACACTCATCGTGGCTTGTACCAGTACAACCGCCTCCCTTTTGGCGTGAAAACAGCACCAGCCATTTTCCAGCAGCTGATGGACACCATGCTCGCGGGAGTTTCTGGAGCCGCGGCGTACCTGGATGATATCATTTTAATGGGTCGGACAGCAGAAGAACTATTTCAGCGGCTCGCTGAAGTGCTTGTACGTATCCAGTCATATGGTTTCCGTATCCGCGAAGACAAGTGTACCTTTTTTACACCAACCATCAAGTTTCTCGGTTTCATCTTCTCAAAAGACGGTCGTCGCCCGGATCCAGAAAATATCCGAGCTATTCAAAAGATGCCCCCACCTGTGGACTTGCAGTCGCTGCGTTCATTCTGTGGCCTAATCAGTCATTACAGCGCTTTTCTGCCCGAACTACATCGCCTGCGTGCCCCGTTGAATAAGTTGCTGAGCAAGGGCCAAACCTGGAATTGGACGCCAGAATGCCAGACTGTGTTTGAGCGGGTCAAGTCATTGTTGGCTTCAGACTTACTCCTAACTCATTTTGATCCTTCCCGGGAAATTGTCCTTGCCACAGACGCATCGAGTCTAGGAATCGGTGCCGTAGTTTCCCATACGTTCCCAGATGGATCTCAGAAGGCGATCGCACATGCCGCCAGGACGCTAACGAAAGCTGAAAGAAACTACAGTCAGATCGAGAAGGAAGCATTGGCCATAGTGTTTGCTGTGAAGAAATTTCACAAGATGCTGTATGGTCGCCGCTTCAAACTCTTGACGGATCACAAGCCGCTGCTGGCCATTTTCGGCTCGAAGAAGGGAATTCCTGCCTATACAGCCAATCGACTACAACGATGGGCACTCACCTTGCTGGGCTATGATTTTGAAATCCGTTATCAGTCAACGAATTCGCTGGGCCAAGCAGATGCGTTGTCACGCCTCATTGATTCCCAGCAGCAAGAACACGAGGACACCATCATTGCCTCAGTTGAGATCGAACCTGATGTCAAATTCCTGGTGAACGAGGCACTACATGGTATGCCAGTTACGGCCGATGCTGTGCGGGCCGAAACGCTTCGAGACCCAATCCTGAAGAAGGTGACACACTTCCACAGAACCAGCTGGCCACGTTCGTGTTCATCTGCCGAAATGCAGCAGTTCTATCAGCGAAGACATTCGCTTTCCATTGTGGACGATTGCATCATGTTCTCAGACAGAGTAGTCATCCCGCAGGCGTTGCAACAAAGAGTGCTGCGACAGTTCCATGCAGGACATCCAGGGCTCAACCGAATGAAAGCGCTTGCCAGAAGTTATGTATATTGGCCGTTTATGGACAGGCAGCTGGAGCAGCTAGCTAAAAGTTGTGGCAACTGCGCTACCGCCTCAAGGGCACCGCCGAAGACTGAACTCCGCTCATGGCCTAAACCAACTAAACCTTGGAGTCGTGTTCATGTCGACTTTGCAGGCCCAATCAATGGCCAGAGCTTTCTCATAGTGGTCGACGCTTATAGCAAGTGGCCCGAAGTGTTCCTCATGAGAAGCACGAAAACCAGCGCAACCGTCTCTAGGTTGCGACAAATCTTCAGCAGGTTCGGCTGCCCTGAAACATTGGTGACGGACAATGGAGCACAGTTTACTTCGGCCACATTCACGGAATTCTGCCAACGTTGCGCCATCAACCACGTGCGGTCTCCACCATTCCACCCACAATCGAATGGCCAAGCGGAGAGGTTTGTGGATACATTCAAACGCGCTCTCCTCAAATCAAGGAGGGAGGGAGACATAGAGGAGGTGATCGACCGCTTCCTATTTCTGTATCGATCCACACAAAATTTACAAACACCGGGTGGAATATCACCAGCAGAGGCAATGATGAAGAGAAAACTTCGCATGCCATATGATGCAGTTCGGCCATCCTCAGAGTCCATAGCTGGTGAAAGGAACCTAAAGATGGAACGTGATTTTAATCGGCGGTTTGGTGCCAAGCAACGTTCGTTTAGACCGGGTCAGCCAGTACTTGTGCGTGATTATCGGGGTGGACACGCGAAATGGACGCCAGGCACGATCCAGCGCAAGCGCGGAAGCGTCATTTACGACGTGCTGGTTGGAACGCAGGTATGGGTACGCCATGCAAACCAACTGCGAACAACAATGTGTCAGCCACAAGCAACAGAATCCGCCAAGCTTCCATTTGACCTGTTGACAGACAGCTTCAACTTGCCTACAGAGCCAGTAGAAGAACCCTGTCATCAGACGAATAGTACCAGACCGCAGAGTACGGAATTCGAATCCAGAACACTACAGCCAAGGCGATGCACCGGTAGGCGAAGAATCCCTTCCAGGAGGCTCCAGGTTAATCCCCGGCTAGCATCCTACACAACGGCAGCAGCTTCAGGAGGGGAGGTATCCGGGAATCAGATAAAAACATAAAAGAAAAAAGGGAAAATATATAATGATGATTGAAAGCTGGGCTGAAGGGAATCGCCTACCCGTGCGGTCGATCAGGCAATCGATCGAGCGGACGAATGCGTTTTCAAACACCCGGCTAATTGGACTTTTGCCTCAGAGTTGAGAGGACAGTGTTTTCGGCGGCATTTTCTGGCTACGTTGGCAGAGTTTTGTTAACACGTTTTTCGTGGTCAAGACTGTTGGAATTTTGATTTTTCTTCGGCTGGGCTAGAATATTTTGCGGAGAAATTTCTGGGCAGTTAATTCGGAATAGCGAAAAAAGTGAAGATCTAACAATACAAACGCACATGTCACTTTATCATTCACAATCCATGTGCAGTCCGCCGAAATTTCTGGCGGGATGTTATTCAGCCTTAAAACGGTTGTAAGTATTATAGATTGGGATATGCCAGAACATCTCAACTCTGACGGTGCACGCTGACGTCACTCATTGAACAGTTTGCCCCCATCCCCGAAATACCCCCCACTCTCTAGAGTCTCTACTTGGATCGATCGTGAATTGTGATCCCTGATTAACAGAAGACGGAAGTTGTGGAACCGCTTCAGGTTCACACGATCAGAGCACGAGTATCTCGGTTACAAAACGGTTAGAAATGCCAGTACCATGAAAAAGGTGAGGAACGTCGACAGTGCGACCTCTCCCTAGTCACATTCTCTCGAAAGACTCCCAAGACGCTCTTCTTCTACCCCAAACGGCGCACCAAAGCAGGCAGTGGTATCCCTGCCCTGTGTTCCTTCGAGCATGGGGATCCATTTCATGAAGACGCTAATAAAGCCTGCCCCCTGGCACGGCAATATTCTTCAGTGTATTCGACAGCAGTGTCGTTTTCTGACAGTTTTGTGAGCACGCTCCCTTCTCTGTTAGAGCACGTCAATATTAACACTGACCTCGTGTTGAGACTTCTGTGATTTGGATCCTTACTCATCGCTTGATCCTGACGTCTTGCACCACTTGTTCTTCAAGACTGTGGCCCAGTACATTGCCACACCTATCTCGCAAGTCTCCTGTCGATCGTTTTAGTCCGGCCTTCCCTCGACTGCTTGGAAGATGGGCATTAGCAAGCTCATCTACAAAGGAGGGAACCGGCAAGATCCAGCTAACTACCGGTCCGTTTGTCTTTCATCGATACTATGCAAAGTCATGGAACGGGTCCTGAAACTAGCACTAAGGCTTCAGCTTCGGACGTTAGATCTGATATCTGGTGCCCGGCACGGTTTCCGCAATGCTCGCCCCTACACTACCAGCTTGGTTGTGGCTAAAGAGAAATGGGCAAGTTCATTGGATGTTGGCAAACGCCTTGAGCTTGTGTTTGTGGATTTCAGTATGGCCTTTAATAAGATCCCCCATAAACAGCTTCTCTTCGAACTCCGAGGTATCGGTGTTGCTTGGAATTTTCTCTCGCGGATTTCTAATTTCCTGTGCGGTCGCTCCATGCTGGTGAACGTAAACGAAACTTTTTCCGATCCTATACATATGACCAGTGGTGTCCCCCAGGACTCCATCCTCGGTCCCGAACTCTTCAACATCTTCACTAACGATCTGCCGTCTGAGCATTAATTTGATTGCTTGATTTGTGCGGATATGCTGAAGATATGGACGGAAGTATCCTCTCTAGAGGATGTTGGTGTACTACAAGAGATGCTCGATTTCCTGCACCCTTGTTCGATACAGTAGCTTTTTCCCATTAATCAAGATAAGTGTTCCGTCCTGCCTATTGGCACTCCCGAACCATTCGGTGCTTACCACATAGGTGGTTTCTTGCTCAAAAATGTCACTTCGGAACGTGATCTTTGTGTATTTATGTCTCCAGGCTTAAGATCCACTCAGAACACCATGAGGAGGGTTGTCGCTGCCTACAGGATGTTTACGGCATCCAAAGAGCTTTCTACCGCTTGGTAACGGAGCTATTTAGACTCCTGTTCACCTTGCATGTGTGCCCGATTCTGAAATAAAATCTTCCTGCTGCCTACCTGCTTACCAAATTTGTGCGTGATATGGTTGAAAAGGTCTAACGGTGTGGATCGAAGTTTGTGTCTGCGATATGTGATCTGCTCCATCCCATTCGGCCTCGACATTTACATCTGTACAATGAATCCATACGGCCATTGCTTTCGTAGCAGGTTCAATAAACACTCAGCATCATCATTGTTGCACATTATACATCATTTTGTCTCATCTCTAAATGTTAATACATACAACCTTAACAATGCTTGGTTCCAAGTCTGCTCTTTACGGTCTTCTCGGTTGCCCCACTCTTTGACTTTTCTCTGAGGACAGGAGCTTCTTGGGGATCCGGGAATGGACTGAGGAACAGCGCCTTCGCACAAGACAGGACGTAATAACCGACAAAGACTTACCTGGACTATGGCTGTAGACCGAAAGGAGTCAACTGCACTCACCACCACGACCGATGTCCAGGGTGCATGGCAGGACACGATGTCTTCACACTGCCGCAAAGTACACATAATCAGAAAAATTTAGACACTAGAAACTTTGAAACTTTTACTCACTTGAACACTCAACAATACTACGCTTGGTGACTCACCCATCCTCGACTAGCCTCAACGATTATGGCGACCTTGGTCAAGCTATCTGGTCAGCCAATAGAGGAAATTGGAGGACATTGGACTGTGAATAACCGAGGGTGAAATCAGTGGACATGCTGCTTTGCCAGCTGTACATTAGGGTTCAAAAGCATCTACGGCCGTGCTACAAGACGTGGCGGGTTTTCGCCTGGCAAGCGTTCTGCCTATACATATATATATATATATATATATATATATATATATATATATATTAATGAAAGTCCCTTTAACAGCACTGCGACATGGCGGATGAGACTCGCCACTGAATAAAGTCACTGCCCACAACTATATACTGGCACGTCGATTAGCATTATAGTTCAATATTTCCTGGACACGTACAAGAAAAAGATACTCTCTGTCCACATCTATCGTCTTCACTACCTTTATAGTGACTCGGATAAACGAATGGGCAGAAAAGAAACAGCTCTCACTGAACCCTGCAAAGTGCCACCTGCTGATAGTGCGCAGCAACTTCGTCAACAGATATCTTTGTGGCAACACGTCCTGCAACACTTGACTGGTGAACGCGACTTAGGTATAATCGTGCAAGAGAGTCTTGGCAATTCACTCCAATTTGCGAAAGCAGCAAGTGTGGCGAATTTGAAATTGGAACTTTTGAGGCGAGATCTCGGCACCTTTGAGCGACGGCTCGTACCATTGCTGATTAACTGCTATATTCGCCCTCACCTCGAATATGCAATTAAGGCCTGGTGTCAATGGTTAAAACGAGACATTCGTCCAAAGAAGAGCCACAAATGCAACGCGTGGACTATCCGGTCTAAGTTACGAACTGCTTCCTCGTGTACTCGGTGTGTTCTCATCAGAATACCGACGACTTCGCTGAGATCTTACTCTCACATTCCGGATACTAACTGAAAGCGAGCTTCCATCTACATCACTGTTGACCCTAGCCCCTTACAAACAAAACCGAGGCAACCACTTGAAACTAATGACGCAGAACTCCCGTCTGAATTTTGGAAAGTATTTTTACTCACTTAAAATCTGTTCTCACTGGAATGCATTACCAAGATATGTGGTGAACGCACCAGACGACGATATTCGAAAGGCGCTTAGACTTTTATCTTAGTGCTAAACGCTACACAACAGTTTGAGAAAGTGCGACGATTTAACCACCGATACTTTACGTTCCACGTTGGAACATTTTGATGTTAATTTTCTTTTACATATCCACCCTGTGGTTCTTGTAAATTCATGCTTTTTATCCTATAATACACTATTGAACTATTGAAGTAGTTACTGTTTACACTATGCATTCTTGAACCCAAATTCTCCTCATCAACTGACAGGTATATTCCTCACGATTACTTCTTCAATTTTCATGTCCTGTAGAACGTTCGGTCACTACCGATTACATACATAGCAACGCGTTTGTTGCGAACCCCTAGTGCTTGTAAAGTTTGTTCATGTCTGATTTGATGTGCCTCTATAATTTCGATAATAAACTATTTATTTAATTAGTATTGACTAAAACCGCTTAGAATTTCTGGCTGAGTGGAAGCGCCTCGAGTGGAATCTAGTCTAATATCAAGGAGCAGAAATTGCGGACATATTTCTCAAGGTTAAGCCGGAATTCATTAATCCGGTACACAATCGTATGACGTTCATTTATTGTTTGACATTTCAAGGCGATATTCGTTGGACTGATTCCATTACGTATGAGAAGTTTCAAAAGTGCTTAGGACACTAACGACGTAAAACGTACCCGTCAAAGACGGCCCTGACTCTCTAGCTACTGTGAGCTCTGTACTGAACTTAATCTACTATTGAGGTTCATTACACACACTCAACTCCTTGGACTTTCTGAATGGAGAGATAATTTCCGGAGAAGGCAGCAAAAAGGAAATCAGTGCCAACTACTTATGGGCAGGATAAGAAGGTCTCAGATTTCCATTTATGTGTAAAATTTCTCTTGCTCGTGTCAAGCAAGGTATTTTGGGAAAACGACCAGACTACTGTCCGTTGGAGCTGGAGAGTAATGTCCAAGTTGGTGCTACAGCGGTGTGAGGAAGGTTGTAACGAGTGCAGTGTCGTCACATCTAGTAGACTCCGGTCATCAAATCAATTCACATGACGCATTCACACCAATCGACTGTGTACCCAAACGTTTCACACGAGCAGTCAGATGTTCCTGTTGTCGACAGCAGAGGCGTTCCCAATTCGCCTGCATAACCTGGATCTATTTACACACATAATCTATTTCATACTCATATCATTGCGGCTATGGGTCTGATTCACCGGAAGCGAAGTTCAGGCCATTAGTCAGACGGTACAAAGATCACTAACCTACGCAGACACCTGTATCGCTGGGCCCAGCACCTTGCTCTACAGTTTAATCGCCCGACACAACCTCCGGTTACACATCTACTGTCATCATGGGATCCTTGGTCAATCTGGATACATCCTCCCAATGAAGCAAAAATACGGAGAGAAATCCAGACTCTGAAATGCCACAAAACTTCTCGCCTTGACAGTCTTCCTCCGGCCTTATTCAAAGATGGGGCGAACTTAGTTTTCACTGTTCACAAAGCTATGGATCGATGAGAAGATTCCTAACTCATGGGGAGAATCTGTTGTGGTTCCGATCCACAATAAGGGCACTCGTAGTGAATGCACCAACTACCGAGGAATCTTACCTATCTCTGTCGCGTCCAAGCTTTTTGTGTCCATTCTGCTACGTAGGCTCCCAGTTACCTGTGAGAGTTTGTGTCGTGAGGAACAGGCTGGATTCGTTCTGACTATGGTTTCATTGACCAAATTTTCACTTCGCCTTAAATTCGCGAACATCATCATGTCTACCGAAGGCTAACAATGGTAATGTTTTTGGATATCCGAGCCACTTTTGATTCAGTAGATAGGTCGTGACTGTGGTACTGTCTGCTACGGAACGGCGTTCCCGACAAGTTTGTCATACTCCTGAAAGAGCTGTATAGTCACACCTCTGGCAAAGTTTGAGCTTATGGAAGGCTTTCTTCCTCGTTTCTCATTACCAGTGGAGTGCGCCAAGGTTGTCCTATCTCGCCGTTCCTGTTTAATTTTGCTATCGAAGATATCCTACATCGCGCACTGGAAGGATCCCAGAGCTGGGGCGTTGAGCTTCTGCCCGGGAGCAGAGCCGTGGACCTGGACTATGCTGATGACATCGCTTTGTTGGGGGACGACCCGCAGGTTGTTCAAAACATTCGGAACCACTTAGTGATAGAGCCATCTAACTAGGATATATATTTTGCTCCATCCAAGTGTAAAGCTTTGCTCTAGGATTGGCAGGCTGCTGTGCCTACGCTCACCATTTCGGGTGTCAGCCTGGAGCTCGTTAGCAGCTTTACTTACCTCGGGAGTTGCATTACGGCTGGTGGCGGTATTGGCGATGAAATTTCATAACTAATTGTCAAAATTCGCTTTGCATGTACTAATCTGAGACACTTGTGGAGTCGTCGCGATGTCAGTCACAAGTTCAACGGTTGGGTGTACAATGCCACAGTCCATGCTGTCCTACTGTACGGCTGTGAGACATGACCTGATCGATCGGAAGATTTGAGACGACTGTCTACTTTCGACAACCGCTGCTTGCGTCCAATTACTCGCGTATGGTGGCAGCACCATGTGAGCAATGCGGAAGTTAGAGGCAGAATCATGGGAGCGGACAGTCCTGGTCTCCAGAGCATAATCATCCAGCACCAAGTGCGTTGGCTGGGTCACGTACTGCGCATGCCGGCCCACCGCCTTCCACGTCGCGCATTATTTGCACTTCCTGGACGCGAATGGAAAAAGAGCCGCGGCGGACAACCGATGCCCTGGAAAAGGAGTACGAAGATTCTAGCGTCAGTTGGGTCCGTGCGTTTCCCAGACTGGGGACCACGTGAAGCGGATTCCCTATGGGTAGAAGTCATGGAAGATATGGCCCGCAATGGGAGTCAGTGGCGTCACTGTTGTTCTACCATCTCTTCATGCTGTACTTTTTAATGTTGAACAAAGCACGAAAACAA